CTGATCCAACTTTGATGTAATGTCCTTAAAACAAGTCAAAATGAGGCTCAGTAGTGTGTGTGGCCTCCACGTGCCTGTATGACCTCCCTACAACGCCTGGGCATGCTCCTGATGAGGTGGCGGATGGTCTCCTGAGGGATCTCCTCCCAGACCTGAACTAAAGCATCCTCCAACTCCTGGACAGTCTGTGGTGCAACGTGGCGTTGGTGGATGGAGCGAGACATGATGTCCCAGATATGCTCAATTGGATTCAGGTCTGGGGAACGGGCGGGCCAGTCCATAGCATCAATGCCTTCTTCTTGCAGGAACTGCTGACACACTCCAGCCACATGAGGTCTAGCATTGTCTTGCATTAGGAGGAACCCAGGGCCAACCGCACCAGCATATGGTCTCACAAGGGGTCTGAGGATCTCATCTCGGTACTTAATGGCAGTCAGGCTACCTCTGGCGAGCACATGGAGGGCTGTGCGGCCCCCCAAAGAAATGCCATCCCACACCATGACTGACCCACCGCCAAACCGGTCATGCTGGAGGATGTTGCAGGCAGCAGAACGTTCTCCACGGCATCTCCAGACTCTGTCACGTCTGTCACATGTGCTCAGTGTGAACCTGCTTTCATCTGTGAAGAGCACAGGGCGCCAGTGGCGAATTTGCCAATCTTGGTGTTCTCTGGCAAATGTCAAACGTCCTGCACGGTGTTGGGCTGTAAGCACAACCCCCACCTGTGGACGTCAGGCCCTCATACCACCCTCATGGAGTCTGTTTCTGACCGTTTGAGCAGACACATTCACATTTGTGGCCTGCTGGAGGTCATTTTGCAGGGCTCTGGCAGTGCTCCTCCTGCTCCTCCTTGCACAAAGGCGGAGGTAGCAGTCCTGCTGCTGGGTTGTTGCCCTCCTACGGCCTCCTCCACGTCTCCTGATGTACTGGCCTGTCTCCTGGTAGCGCCTCCATGCTCTGGACACTACGCTGACAGACACAGCAAACCTTCATGCCACAGCTCGCATTGATGTGCCATCCTGGATGAGCTGCACTACCTGAGCCACTTGTGTGGGTTGTAGACTCCGTCTCATGCTACCACTAGAGTGAAAGCACCGCCAGCATTCAAAAGTGACCAAAACATCAGCCAGGAAGCATAGGAACTGAGAAGTGGTCTGTGGTCACCACCTGCAGAACCACTTCTTTATTGGGGGTGTCTTGCTAATTGCCTATAATTTCCACCTGTTGTCTATTCCATTTGCACAACAGCATGTGAAATGTATTGTCAATCAGTTTTGCTTCCTAAGTGGACAGTTTGATTTCACAGAAGTGTGATTGACTTGGAGTTACATTGTGTTGTTTAAGTGTTCCCTTTATTTTTTTGAGCAGTGTATATGCACTATACTGCCATATCACTGATACTGCATGTAGTCCAATGAGTATGAACTGTATGTCTTTGAAGTCATTCTACCGTATACTATGTTGCCTTATATAAGGGACCATACCTTACCAATATTGAATGTGACCTTGAACAAAGAAATGTAAAAGTATTTTTAATAACCAAATCATTAACCTATAGTGATAGCAGCATCAATACAATAACAAAGCAGTTGAGTCTCTTTCTTCTTTTTAGACTGGGGGGATGATAAGTGAAGGTGAAAGTCAAACTGGCTAGTATTCTGAGCAGGGATGGAATTATCCCCACCAACACTACGAGTCAAATTAAAGCAGTCAAGTGTCAAAACTCGGCAATTAATAACTCCTCTTCCTGTCTGTGAGGCTTTAATGGAGCAGAAGATTTATCAAGCATTAAGAGCTTAACACTTCCTTGCTGGGGCACAGCTATTTGTCAATCACCAAAGCACTCTTTTGCGCTAGCCAACTTTTGTCACTTTCTTTACTTGAATGTCACATTAAAAGAATTTGTTTTGGGTGATCAATCGTTTCCTTCTGGCCTGTGCCCGCTGCTGCCCTGCCCTCTCTATTTGTCTTCTTGTTTGAAAAGTTGTGGCAGGGAAGAGGATATATATAAGGGAAAATTGTGTTTAAATAGGAGATTGGACATAATTGTAAACTCATTGCAAAACCATTTTACCTTGAGTTGGAATTACTTTGAAATTAGTGCAAATTCTGAAGGATTTACCTACTGTAAAGCTGAAATTAGTTATGTTTAAACATTAAGTGTTGGTGTGGGAGAGGTTACAATTCCATTAAAGTCCAAATAGAAACTGAATGTAATGAGAGAACAAAAAAGTCTGGAGATCCTCAATAGTAGAAAAATAAATAGCCTGGGGAAACAACTGATTTACCTCAGCAGATGATACATTTTCATGTAGCTTTATCTTCCTAATGAGTTGGAATGAACTTGGCATGAGTTTGCAGATAGGTGTGGTAATGTACATTTAAAGATTGTGAAGAAAAACACAGGCAGATAGGGGTGAAATATAATTTTTCCTCTTTACCATTACATTGCCTTCTATTTTCCATATGGGCATCTCTGGTGTCAGCAAACAACGTGGAGCAGGGAAATAATTGCAAATATCCCAACACGGCAGCGCCATGCTTTTCCCTGCACCAGCGTGATGCATTTAGTCTTGCGCACAAACTGCCTTCCTGGACCACAGGATCCATTTTCATTTCCCACACAAACGCAGCGGGTGCTTGGCAGTTGTTTGGCAAAATTACATGGTGCAAGGATTTCTTTTCAATTTTATTTTATTCATTGTTTTCCGCTGGATGGATGAGCAATGTTCAATGAAGAAAGAGGGACAACTATAAGTAAACAAGAGACAGGAAGTAGGATAGAAAACAAGTGTCTGAAAACAAGTGTCTGTAAATAAAATGTTGAAGACTATATATGTTTTAAATTAATCCTTCAATAAGTGTATGGTGCTGGTAGTCAGTCTAATTATAACTTATAAAATAAATATTTTAATAAATGTTTCTTGAACCCTCTGTCATCATAATGTAATACCCTGTTAAAACCATGTATTAGAAACACTATGTTTTACTACAGCTTTCGCTGTTGAGCCTATGTTGTATGCATTGCATCAAACAAATGTTGCTTTCAAGTGCAAACTACAAAATAAATGACATGTCAATAATTTAAGAGTCACTGTTGGTTTGAATTCTTTAATGTGCCTTCCACTTAATTAGTTTGACCTTTACGTTGTAAACTAAAGTAAGCTGGTTTGGTTTAGCCAGTTAGAAGCCGTGTTACATTGTTGGGCCAATCACGTGAACTCTGGGTTTTCTGTTGCAACAAAATCTTTTAGGATTCGGACTCGTGACTCTGCTTGAGACGTGAGAGAAGAGAGACAACACTATTTGTTGAGCTGGAAGTTTTACATCCTTGAAGATACGGATTGCATTTAGAAAAAAGAGTGAACAGAGGACTTCTTTTGTGATGCTGGGCATTTTCCTCCATGGATTATAGATAGGCATCGGCCTTGAAATTATTGTTTAAGGGAGTTTTGCTTCGATACCGTGAGTAACATTGGGTTTCCATTAATTTTCTTGAATGATTCCTCACGTCTTCATTGAGCTCCAAACGCGGGTGCCAACAGTGTCAGTGGTGGAGGTATTAAAGCGGCAATCAGCAGTTAAAACAATGATAACATGTTTTCCCCACCCCTGTTTCAGTACAAAGCTGAGGGATAGGGCTGGAGAAATGTAACCACTCTCAAATTCATAGACAGAGCTATGGATGCAAGGGCTGACCATCCATGATATCAACATTATAGTTTTAACCATGTTTTGAGGCTATATAGTGTTTGTTTAAATTTGCGTTGTTTACAAATATTGGAGTGAAACAAGCTTATATTTTGGGTTCTGATGGGGTACGACAGTTGAACTAAGCTTATGAGACATTTTCAAGTTATATTCTTAAAAAATCAATGGGTACAATTAATTAACTCAGAAGTACAAAAATGGATGAAGCAACTGCAGATTGCCCCTTTAAGAGTGCACTCTATACCCGGGGGTTATATTTTTATTATAGATCTTATCTGTCGGAAAGATATCAGTTCGTCTCTGCGGATGGTTTGTCCTGTGACAAATCAATGGTAAGTTTTGGTGTTCCTCAAGGTTCCGTTCTAGAACCACTATTGTTTTCACTATATATGCTACCTCTTGGTGATGTCATTCGGAAACACAATGTCAACTTTCACTGCTATGCAGACGACACACAGCTGTACATTTCGATGAAACATGGTGAAGCCCCTAAATTGCCTACCCTGGAAGCCTGTGTTTCAGACAAATCCATGCTTTTGTCACTCTCTACACTGGCTTCCTGGCTAGGGCTAATTTCAAGGTTTTACTGCTAACCTACAACGCATTACATGGACTTGCTTCTACTTATCTCTCCAATTTGGTCCTGCCGTACATACCTACACGTACGCTACGGTCATAAGACCCAGGCCTTATTGTCCCTAGAATTTCTAAGCAAACAGCTGGAGGCAGGGCTTTCTCCTATAGAGCTCCATTTTTATGGAATGGTCTGCAGATCAATGTGAGAGACACAGACTCGGTCTCAACCTTTGTCTTTACTGAAGAGTCATCTCTTCAGTAGGTCCTATGATTGAGTGTAGTCTGGCCCAGGTGTGACGAACCACCCTTGCTGTCTCTGCCTGGCCGGCTCCCCACTCTCCACTGAGATTCTCTGTCCCTTTTACAGGGGCTGAGTCACTGGCTTTCTCGCGCTCTCCCATCCTTCTTGTCCTCGGGCTCGTACGGTGGGGGAGATCTTCGTGGGCTATACTCAGCCTTTCCGGTAGTAGAATCTTACTGTGGCC